ATTTATGTGTTAATATATAGATACACGCACACATACATACAAACAAAAGGGTCATAGATTTCCACCACAATAGAAATTCACGAAAGCAATATTCATCAAGCAAATAAAAGTTGTGGTTTTTAAATAACAATATATCTAGATTTTTGTCCAAGTCGTCGTTACATCATTAAGTCTCTTCTCATGCATTATCACATGTGATAAAGGTGTTATTGATTTGATACTATAATTCATCAAGACTAACATATGTGACACTAAATCATAGACGTAAACAACCTTTGGTGTGATCTAAGTCGCAGGACACGTCGTTTGCACATCACCAGGTCCCTCATGTATATTATCACATGTGATAAGAGTATTCTCGAGTTCTCGTAAAATGAAGGTGTTCTCGTTTGAACCTCCACACACACATACATACTTGGAAATAATTGATTTTATATTTGAAAGCATAAAAATATAAAATAATTGTCGTTCTGGTGTGTTCAAGGGCGGACCTATGAAGGCCTCAATAGGGTCTCATGTACGTATTCGTTTACACCGATTTTCGCAAGTAGGATTTTTCCGGAGTATGAATGGTGCACGGCGTTGAATTTTGATGGTATTCCAGGATATTATAATATACATGAAATATCAAACAAAAAATCGTTTATCTTCCAATTGGTTGGACCGTAGGTGCGGTGTATTACTTCACCGACGAGGTCTCTTGGTTCAAATTTATACCCATAACATCTATGTCAGTTTTTTGTCTTAGGCCCTGGCTCATCCTCCGTGGACGAACCTTGCGGAGGGGGTAAAAAAGCCAAAATAAGTGATTTTAGCCCTTCACTTCGTATTGTTTGTTAGGGTTTCGTGAATTCCTATACGAAGGTTTTATAGATGTGTCTCCGCGTATTCCTTGATCATTTCCTCTTCTAAATCAACAAAAAATCGAAAGAATATCTCGAAAATCAACCAAAAACGTAAAAAAAGGGGCAAAACGATGGAATTTGTCTAAAAACATATCGAGCGATATTGCAAACTTCCGATCCACCTTAAAAGTGCATCTGCTCAACAAAAATCTCGAGATGAGCACTGAATGCATCTCAATAAAAATCTCAAGCCAGAGCACGCATTGGACGAGAATATCGCTTCCACTATATTTATCTACTATATTAGCAAGATGTAAAATCAATAAAGAGAACCACAAGGGTGGTGCCTGATTGGTTTGAGCTTGACTCCAAAAGTCAAAAGTATCATGAGGTCCCAGGTTTAAATCCAATGAGAATTAAAAATCCCCTTGTGGCCATGGAGGTTCAAATGCGGTGACTCTGGGCTATCTGCAAAGCAGGTGGTAGCCCTGGGATTAGTCGGCTCGAATAACGGGTTGGATATCCAGATTAATAAAAAAAAATCAATAAAGAGCGAAAACAGTTTTGATCACATCAATTATTCACGTTAAGATTTGATTTCTTTTAAAACCTAAAAAACCCGTTATTGATTAGTTATCATATCACTCATACCAAAAGCAACCACATGTGTATCTAAACATTGGCAACATGCTAGCATGTTAACGATGATTTAGGAAAATGGGAATTTAGGCTCGAGGTTACTCGATCTGTGCTGCAAAACAGATGAATTTTAACAGTTTTCAATCTTAAAATGTAACGACCAGTATATAATATGTTACGTAGCTTGTAGGTTTTTTAGAAACCAACATAAGAACACATCTATATATGTTTTGCGAAAATCGATTTATGGTATTTGTCACATTCAATCGACTTCAAAAACCTAATTCTGAATCATTTGAGCTCGTGACAGACAACTAGCCGAGTTCGATGATTTGCCTTTTTTCTAATCCAAGAAATTGTGAGCATCATGCTTTATCTTTTATTGCATGGAACATATATCTGATTTGAAAAAAAAGAAAGATAAAATGTGAAACTTGGAATTTTTTTTATTAACCTGGATATCCAACTCGCTATACGAGACGACTAATTCCAGGATGACCAAGTGAAACATTAAGTATTGTTTAATATAGATATTTAATTATTTGAAAACTCTAAAATTTGTGAGATATGCTAAAACTTTTATCTTAAGGTTTTGTTTCACATGATTTTTTTTCTCATTTAAAGACAATACTTTATGTATTGGTTATTAACATATATCTGTTTCAATGATGTGTTTGTTTTATATGTATTTGGTTCACAATATGAAACATTTAACGTGTGTTTTTTGTTTCACAAACATGTCAGAAATGTTTATATTGTGAACTGAGTACATGTGAAATAGCTACATTAAATTCTAGTTATAGAAGAAAAAAAAATCATATAAAATAACATATGATGCACTTGTTGTCAAAGATCTCACGATTTAGAAAGTTATTAAAATAAGATCCACACACACATACATACACACACGCGTGTATATATATATATATATATATATATACATATATATATGGTTGGACTCACGTAAAACAAACTTGTTTTTTGTGAGACACGATTTTTACACATGAAACTTCACAACAAAATGTTGTAAAGATAAAAAAAGTCGAATATTCACAACAAAAACACTGTAAAGTTTCAAGTGTAAAAACCGTGTCCTAAATGTCTCACGAAAACAGTCTTGTATCATATAATCCCAAATCTATCTATATATATATATGTGTGAGAGAGAGAGAGAGAGAGAGAGAGAGAGAGGGAGAGAGAGATTTATGTGAATTAAAAATAAATATATTTATAGATATTGCCCCCAGGCCCCAGGTATCATGTTGAAGCCCAAAAGACAATCCAGAGCTGGCCCACAACAAATTTGTTGACACGACGACGTTCAGATAATTGTAAGTTAAACTTAAACTTGTACGCATTGAACCGTAAGTTAGCAACCCACGCGTCCTCTAATTATTAAGGTCCCTATGAAATTCTCATAATACCCTTGATGTAAATAAATCAACTTACTCATAAGATAAAGTTATTGATTTTTATGTAAAGGGCAAAATTGGAAAAATATTCACATATTTTTTTCTATGTAATCTTCAAAGAAAAATAAAACGTTACATACTATCCGGAATAACTTCAGTGCAACGATTAATTATCTGGTTAATTAATTGGTTTGTAGTCATTGCAGATGAATCATGACTATAAGGGTTTTGACAGCGTCTGGATTTAAACATGTGAAAGATGAGTTTTCTACTGCGTATCTTGAACTTTAACCAATGCACCATAACACAAACGGTTTGATAGAATTTGATTTTAGTCTGCACTGAGTTTCGATGTTATTTACTAGAAAGTATCTGATGCGCTTCATGTCAGAGAGTCTTATTTGGTTTGAAAATACTCGTAACAACGAGTTCAGATATTATAATAAACTTAAATCAACCAAATATCAAGATATCATAACTAAGGGGCCGTTTATCAAATGCTTACCGGGTAAGTGTTTATTGTTTCGGATGAGCATGACAATGATCTGGAATCTACAGGGTAAGAGATATAGCAAAAGACCAATAATCTTACTCAATAAGTGAAAGCGAAGACTCTTTTCCAGTAAGCACTTACTGGGTAAAGATGCTTACCAACGATTCATTTTGATGGCCGAGTATCTTACCCGACAAGGTAAGTGAGGTAATCGCTCTTGTGGATAAACACTTACCCGGTAAGCGTTTGGTAAACGACCCCTAAATGTCCCAACAAATCATTGTATAGGACCAAACAATAAAACATTCTATATGAAGGTATTGTAATAGTTTTATATGACGTTCTTGAACGTCTTAACAAATTTATTAGAACACTTCTAATACAAAACGACGTAGTACACTATTGAGAAGTGTCTTATGAACACGTCTTTTTATAGGGCACTTCTTCCGATAGTGTCCTATAAAGTAACTAATACAACGTTTTTTTTTATTAAAATGTTTTAAAACACTTGTTACGATGGCCGAAAGAGGTCCTATAAATTTCTTACAAACACCTTTAGATTGAACGTTTTATTTTTTTAGTTCTATAAAGTAGTCTATTATAACATGTAAGATCCCACATTGGTTGGGGAGACCACTAATGTTGCCTTATAAGGTGTGTTTGGTGTCTAGACAGGACAAGATAACAATTGTTCAACTTTTGGTAAGATAAAATTGGACATAACAGAACAAGTAAAATGACCAATTTACCCTAATGAGTTGTTTATTTTAATTAATTTATTAAATTATAATAGAATAATTATTTTTTATAACAAAATATATCATTAAAGAGTTTTCATCAAAACAATTAAAATAACACCAAATAAAAAGTTTCCAATTTTTATCTTTATCTCTTTTCTACATTATATTTTATTATTAATATATACTAAATTAAATGAATTGATAAAAATATAGAAATCGTATAAAAATAATATTTTAAGGACAATAAAATGAAAATTTAAGGAACATAAAATACAATAAATAAAATTTAAAGAATAAATAAAATATAAAAAAAGAGAATCAAGTTTTATTTTAAGATTATATCAGTAAAATATAAGTCTGTTACATCTTGTTCCACCATGTTCTATGGGGTAGGGGTGGAACAGGTCTGTTCCACTTTGTTCATGTCTGTTCCACATGAAAGTCATGGCAAACATGGGACAATAATTTATGTCCTGTCCTGTTTTGTCCAGTGTACCAAACGCACTCATAAAGAACTGAATACTTTATCTATCAGACGCGTTTTAAAACCATAAATCCAAGTGTGTGGATAAAGCACACAATATCTGATATGATTGATCTGGAATGTTATGTAACGCTTGAACATTTTTATCGTCTTATAAACCCCGTTTGCTTCGTAAAATGAGTTTCGAAAACACAGCGTAAAGATTTCAAATGCATGCAATAATTAAAACAAAAAAATAAAGCAATATTTTGACATCTCCCTTTTCTCCTATAAATCCAAAGTATTTATTAGAATCCCAGACTTGCACACAGCATTCATTCTTTGCTTTGCCATTTAAACCACCTGCACACCTCCCTCCTCCACCCACCACCACCACCACCACCATCAATGGCGGAGAAAACCACGTCGTGGGGGCTGAACCACCTTTTCTTGACGGTTTTCTTGTTCAATTTTGCCAATTTCATGGTGGTTCCGGCGATAACCGACGTCAGCATGGCGGCAATTTGTCCTGGCGAAGACGAATGCTCCTTTGCCATTTACCTCACCGGTGTTCAACAAGCGGTAAGATTTATGCAAAACGTTTCTTTCACACGAGTCACGACGCTGCAAATTTCATCGAATATGGTTACAAGCGTTTTCCCAACAAAAAATGGGTAAACGCTAACGTGGTAATAATACGGTTTGGGTCGTTAATCACTGATCGAATACGAGTCATTCCCTTCACTTACCGGACCAACGTTCAGTCAATGTCATGGAATGGTAAGAAGGGTTTGATAAACGACAATATCTCTTACCACGTAAAAGCTTTTTATAAGAAGTTCGATAAAACCTCGTTGTTGTTTAAAAAAAAAGCTTTTTACCAAAAGCAGATAGTAAACAACCCCTTAAAAGGTAGTATCTGGATCGTTAAGAGGTGAATCTTGTTTGGCAAAAAAAATCTGACTCTTAATGGTTCTAAAACCTTCTGAATGATTTTCTATCTTGGGTCTCCCTTAATATTAAGCGCCCTAATTTTATTGTAAACAATTATCAAATAATTATATTTCATTTTATACTATATCATAAGAGTCTCTTAATTATTCTGCACTAAACCATTCAGCAACTGTCAAGCAATCCTAATCTGGGTATAGCACGGGACACATTTCCAAAAAAAATATTGTGAATCGTGGGTACACTTCAATCATTCTATTAAAATTTTGTCGTGTGTAATTGATGCATCATTGATTATATAATTGTACACTTTTTATAAATGTATCAGATTATCGGAATGGGGAGTCTGATACTGATGCCGCTGATCGGAAATCTTTCCGACCATTATGGAAGGAAACTCCTTCTCACTTTTCCGATGATGCTTACCATTTTTCCGGCAGGTAAATGTATCGTTTATATTTGAATTTAAGTGATTAAGGGGTCGTTTATCAAACACTTACCCGATAAGCGCTTACTAGTAAAATTCAACACTATCACTTACTTACCAGGTAAGATTTTAGTCAACAAAAACAATATTGTATGCAATTATTTACCCGGTAAGCACTAACCGTAGTAAGAGTCCTCACCTTTATTTACCGGGTAAGACTCTTGATCCTTGTCTCGTTCTTACCAAGTAAGATTTTTGGTCCTTGATCACATTTAATCTCAAACTCATCCATGAATAACGTTGGATTGATTCGGTACACCTCAACCTAATCTGTATTCAAGAGTGAATATTCATTCTTACATTTCTCACCTTAACTCTTCTTATCACCTAATATTGTGATATATACAATTTGAAACTAATTATGATTTGATATTGTAATTAATAAAATTTAAATATTTGTTTAGGAGTCAAAATAAATAATAATCTCAATAATAATGATTATTGAATATTATTTATTTAATAATTAATAATTTATATTTTTTACTCATGGGTTGTGATTAATGCTTTCAAGGACATGGAGGTGTAAATGTAGTGAAGTCCACCTTAACAAGTAACCTTAAAGTGTGATGCCTATTCTCACTATTTTAAATCTATTAAAACTTTTTTTAAATAAAAAGAAAAGCAAATTATATAAAAAAGTAATCTGTTTTAATTTAATTCCTATTTTAGGTAACATATTTTCATTTTAATACATAAGATGTAAGGTTATAAACATTTAATTATCTAGGTAACCGGCTGAAACATTAACCGGTTATCATACTAATGTGGCGAGTGATGTGATATTTAACTCAATATTTTTTTGCTGAAACATTAACCAGATACCACATCACTCGCCACATCAGCATGGTAACCGGTTAATGATTCAACCGGTTACCTGTATACTTAAATATTTAAAACTTTACATCTTAGGTACCAAAATGAAAGTTCTGAAAGTACGTTACTCAAAATAGGAATCAAGTTAAAGTAAGTTATTTTTTCATGCAATTTTGAAAATTACAACATTAATTAAATTATTAAAATATTCATATATATAATAAAATGTTTTTTCTTCTAAATATAAAGTTTTTTGTTGGTGATATATATATAGGATATATTTCAAATACAACCATGTCCATTTGTACAAAAAATACAACCCAATTAATTAAGATATTTATAAAAATGACGAGAGTTTATTTATTATGATTTGAATATTTATGAAAGATAAATATGGTTTATTAATTATGATCAATACTTTATATTAGCAAACAATCAAAACTTCTATAAAATCACATATTCATCAAATTAAATGGACGGTTGAGATTGGGTTGTATTGGTTGTACAAATGTAAATGGTTGTATGATAACCAAACTCTCTCTCTCTCTCTCTCATTCTCTCTCTCTCTATATATATATATATATATATATATATATATGGGTCCATTGAAGGAAGAACTGATTAGTTTGTGATAATTGTAAGATCCAATCTCAATCACAAATCAATCGATAAATTAGAAAACTAATATTTTTAGTAATTTGACTTAAAGTCATAATTATAGGGCATTTTATGTATTTTAATTTTTTTTATCTCTCCTCTCTCCTATCTCTGGCCTCCGATGAACACCACATGGTATACTCAAAATACACCAAGATACACAATCTGATATCCAAAACACACCACGTAAACTTTGAGACTGTTGTGATATCAATTGTGATACCGTTGTGATACCACCTGTGGTACCGTTGTGATACCAACAAGATGACCGGAGTGGTGGTGGGTGCCGGAGAAGACCACCGGATTTGGTCCCTGTGTGTGTGTATATATATATATATATATATTTACATATATTAAAATAATTAAAGTAAATTGAACTAATTAAAGTAATTGAATAATCAATTCAATTTACTAATTTACCTTTTGTTTTATTTTAGTAAATAACATTAATTATCTAAAATGATTGACTCATATTGGACCTCATAATTACCACAAACTATCTAATTCTCATTTGATTAAGCCCTTTATACATATTATATATATATATATATATATTTTATGTTCTCTAAATTCGAAGAATTTCACGTCTCATCTCCTACTTTTTCTATTTTCTTGAAATTTTAAAGAACCCGTCGTACTTTTTTTTACTGTCTCTAAAATCTCTATTTTCTTCGTTTTCATTATGTAGAATCATGTTCCAGAACTTATTATTCGATACCCATATTCATGTTTTTCAAAATAAAAACGAAACAAAGTTTTTTTTTTTCCGTTTTGATTATAAACGTTTTTGATTTGTGAATCAGTGAATATAACAAATAAACTCACACACATTTCTCACATTTGGTGATGTTTGAACCCTTGACCTTCTAGAAAGCTAAAAACTCACATACCGCTAGGTCAAAGACTCTTTGATAATTTTTCAAACTTTGGTGGCCAAATTAGAAATGAATGCAAAATATAGTGGTTAAAATAGCAAAGGTACAAGTAAGGAAGCATGATGTACTTATTATTAATTGGGGTTGTTGGAAAACAGTGATATTGGCATATAGCAGAGAAAGGAACTTCTTCTATGCATATTATGTCCTCAAGACTCTCACTTCCATGGCTTGTGAAGGGACTGTCCTCTGCCTTGCACTTGCTTATGTGGTAAGTAACTTCAAGCTTATATTACCCTTTGCTTCTCAATTTGGTTTACTCGAGACCAACTTATTTTTGTAAGATCTTTGAAACCATTTTTTACATTTGAAACTTTACAGCAAAAAACTGTGAAAGTAAAGAAAAGCCGAACCTTCACAGCGAAAGCGCTACGAAGATTATCTTCATAGCGTTTTGCTGTAAAGTTTCAGATGTAAAAAAATGGAATGATTTTTTTTTATTATATTACACCAATAAGAAACCTTGAAATGAAATGCTTTTAGGTGAGAAATAATATTTATTAAATATATGAAATATTTTAATAATATAATAAAGAGATTTTTTTTAAAAAAAAACCCAACAAACTTTTTCATTTTGAATGATTTAATCTCTGAACTATCTTTTTTGAATGAATAAACTATTAAACTTTATCGTTTTGAATGATTAAGTTAATGAATTATTTTTTTAAATGCAAAAACCATTGTATTTTCTCTTTTTGAATAAAAAAATATTAATTTTTTTTTATTTTGATTGATTAAGTACTTTTTAATACATAAACTATCCCGCTTTTTAAAATTGATTATCTACTTACTTTTAATCCAAAAAAATTACATTAACTAACTAGTAAAAGTTCGATTGCTTTTTAAAATTGCTTTTAATTAACCATCTAAATCGAACGTAGAATAAAAAATCTGTCAACGACCCTATATAAGATAAGGGGGTTGTGTTCACGTGAGACAAACTGTTTTTTGTGAGACGTGTGAGACATGGTTTTTACACTTAAAACTTCACAACAAAATGTTGTGAAGGTAAAGGAAAACCGAATTTTTACAGCAAAAATACTGTAAAGATTACCTTCATAGTATTTTATTGTAAAGTTTCAAGTGTAAAAATCGTGTGTTTTACGTCATCCCATGTCTAAGATGCAGATACTAAAAAAATTAAAATACAATACATCACACAAAATAATAATAAAAATAAATTTTTTTACATTTTGGGGGATGTTTGGGATTGCTTATTTGAAATAATTTATGTTTTTCTACAAAAGTACTTATTAACTTATTATAAGTTAGAATGAGTTAACTTATTCAAAAACTTATAATTAACAGTTTGACACCGATATAAGCTTTTTATTCAAACATTTAAAAATGTTTATTTGTTACCGATGTTACACTGAAATAAGTCAATAAATTATTTTTATAAACAATCCAAACATCAAATTGATAAAATTTTGAAAAGAGTTTCATAAAATACAATCTAAAATCATTGGGAGATTTGACTTGGAGATGGTGTTTGACTATTTAACGGTCTGATTGGAAAATCGTCAGGCGGATAACGTAGCGGAGCAACGGCGGGCGTCGGCGTTCGGAATCCTCTCCGGTATCTCATCATGTTCCTTCGTTTTCGGCAACCTCCTTACTCGCTTCCTCCCATCCGCCGCCTCCGTCTTCCAAGTAATTACACACATCTCTTTACTCGTAGTTGGATTACATCGAAGAATGTGTGTGAATTCCGTTGTTCCATAATTTTAGGTATCTGCGGCTGTGGCAATGGTTTCTGTAGTTTACATGAGAATTTTCCTACCGGAATCTAACATGGAAGCGGCGGTGATTGCTGTTTCTTCAAAAGAAGAAGCAACAGATGAATGTCTTCTCGAGAAGGGGAGTATCAACAATCGGATTCGGCGACCTTTACGTACAACTCCTTCTTTGCACGATTCAATTTCCATGTTGAAGAGCAGGTATATCATTTTCAGATAATTTGTTTGTCAGGAGTCATGATGTATAATAAAGATCGATAAAATGAAATTAATTATAACATCTAATGCGTGTCGATCCTTAGTTTTGTGAGCAGTTTTTTCATCCTACGAATCTAAGACATTCATTCGGTATGAAACGAGATACATAAATGCGTGTTCGCCCTAATGGCTGTTGATGATTGCATGTATATCAATATAACGAAACTGTTTGATATGTGCAAGGTCTCACATATAACTAGGAGAATTAAAGGTTTTTGTGTGTTTGAATGTTAATTTCAGCTGGACATTTTCACAAGCAGCTATTGTGGCATTCTTCAGCATGCTTGGTGAACTTGGCCTATTTTCTGCATTATTGGTACTTCATAAACTCTTTCACTCAAATAACAACTCTGAATTTAGTACTGCTATCGATGTCCATGTCTCCATGAGACCATGGTAGCAATTTGCGAGTAAGATTACTCCTTTGTTACATGAAAGCCAGAAATTCAAGTATTGGAAACAGCCTCTACTGTTTTGCTAAGGAGCCTCGGTGCCCTGAGGCCTCTCACCTATAACAACAATTAGATGGTGTTTATCTTTTCAATTTACAAAGATAGAGATCTTCTCTATGAGAGGATCAGATTATTATTTCGACTTACATTGGAGTGAAATCATTACTTACTCAATGGTTGCATTTGTTTTCATTTTGTAGTACTATTTGAAGGCTGAATTCCATTTTGACAAAGACCAGTTTGCTGATTTGCTGATTATCAATGGGATTGCTGGAATCATATCTCAAGTATGCTTTCCGCACCTGTATTATGATTATAGTATCAATTCTTATCGAGATTCTAATTTCTATGTATACATTATATGGAAAAACTACAGATGATTCTCATGCCCATGTTGGCTAGGGTAATCAATGAAGAAAAACTCCTTGTGATCGGGCTCGCTTTCAACTGTATGCATGTAAGTAAACGATCACATATTTAATTCCATAAGCCTTCCAAAAGCAGATGTTGATCCTTCAAAGATGAAGTTCTTTAGGGCAAAATGAGTAAAATCTCCATAACCTCAACTTACTTACAAAAAATAAGTTCCAATATTAGACCTCATACATCTTATTTCAACATTATGCACTGGATAAAGTAACAATCCTGTGATTTGGATCAAATCCTTGCGTGATTTGGATTTTAAACCTAAATGGTCATCATGGAGCGGGTGGATAAGAAGCTTTCCTAACATGACCACTGGATTTGAATGCAGATTTTTCTTTATGCTGTAGCTTGGACCTCCTGGGTACGTATTTCTGCTCAACTATTAAGCAATCATATCTTAACTACACTTGACAGTATGCATGGAAAACCCTCTTCGATATGTCTCAATTTTTGGTAACCAGTTTGTGTGGAAACAGGTTGTCTATCTTGCAGCGACTTTGCAGATTCTGGCTGTTTTTGCAGGACCAAGTGTGAGTTCATGTCTACTTTATTCTTTTTTGTACTTCCATTTTTCTTTTAGATTAAAGATCATCTGCTTTGTTTCAGTTAAGGAGCATAGTATCCAAACAAGTTGGCCCTACTGAGCAGGTAATTCATCACATTTATAAATGAAATGTACGATCATTTCTTGATGGTTTCTTTTATCCATCTTCTCAGGGCAAGGCACAAGGATGCATTACAGGCCTATGCTCATTTGCCGGTATTATTTCCCCATTGGTTTTCAGTCCTCTAACAGGTCAGAAAAAAAACTTCAAGCTATACTATTTCATGATTAAATTTGATTGTAGCTAATAAGGTTTTCTGTTTTCTTTTTCCCCCACAGCTCTATTCTTGTCTGATCATGCTCCATTCCAGTTTCCTGGTTTTAGTCTTATGTGTGCTGGCTTTACGGTGGTATGGTCTTTCTCACCATTCGATCTTTTCTGTTTCTGTTCCCTGCATATCAGATCGGTATTTACTGATTACATTTAGCTAAAAGAAGGAATCTTGATTTCTTGTTCAGTTGCCACAAAATCTTCTATTCTTTTGACAAGAAAATGCAGAGCAATCGATTTAAATTCGTAAACCATGTATAATTTGACAAAATGTTTATTCTTTACCATACAAGAACTAATACAAAAACCTGGTTTTGCTTAGATTCACAAAACTTACTTAAAAGTAACAAGTCTTAACTGTCTAACAAGTCTCTAAATGACTAAATGGGTTGTCTTTTAATTCAATAATAGATGGGTTGTCTTTAGATTAGGGAACTTCTCAAAGTTAGAGTGTAATAGTAATTTATAGTTTTGTACTATTCAGACCGTATCCATAGAACCAACATGATCCTTTAAGATTGGCCTGTTTGTTAGCAGCTTAATGAGACTCGCAGCTTATTTAGTCAGCTATACATGACTGTTTGGTACTGACTTAATGATATATAGAGTGACTTTTAGGGGGAGCTTTATGCAGAAAACAAAGTTTTTTCCAAACCTGTCATTTCCAATTAAGAAACATACTCCTTCCATCTATAAAAAAGCACTCCCAAACAAAAACCTTCCTAATTTATACAGACAAATTAATCCACATAGAGAGTTTTATCCGTACAAGGACTTAATGGAAAACCAACCAAACATTGGGTTGTTTACCTTGTTTTTTCATTAAGCCCTGTATTGGTAAAGTTGCTTGGACTTGGGATAGGAGACCAATGGGTTTGTGGGAGGCAAAGAAAGAGGATTGGATTATTTCTAGGGCAGTTTTGGTATTAATTTGTTTGAGGTGGCTTAACGGGGACAACTGAGAGGTCCTAGATTATTCTATATAGTCATTTTGGCTTAATGTCTTAACAATTAAGCCGTAAAGGAACACTCCTTTATGGCTTAAGCTACAAATAAACACTAAACAGCCTCTTAGCATGTTCCATTGTAAGGATTAAAGTTCGAATTTGTTGATTTGCAGATGATAGCATTCATCCAGAGCATCATGATCAGGGCACCCCCATCTCCTTCTTCCCTTCCTGTTTCAGATCGAAAAACCGACGATTGTGCATAACCAGAACAGTATGAGCATAAGCTTAAAGTGTTCGTTTTTTCCGTCTTTTTTCCCGCATTGCTGGTGTATTTACCATTCAAGTCTCCCCTTGATTTTGTACATATTTAAGGCCTGCCCAAATTCGACTGTTGCACATGTATATTGTAGAAATGTGCACTTGTATATTATAGCGAAGGTAGATATATGAAACAAAAGATTTATTTGTGATGACGTGCACACTAAAAACAAAAACCGAAACTGAATAATTAAACCGAAAAAGTGATCAACGAATTGCGTGTTTTTGGTTACCCAAACTGAAAAAGATATGTTTTTTCTACTTCGGTTTTTGTTCGTTGTTAAGGCAGGCAGACGTGTCGACTTTTTTTCTATCCATGGTTTTCAATTTTCCGAATTAAAGTTTGATTGGTAAGTCGGCATGAAGCTGTAAAAACATGGGTTTTTGGTTGACAAGGTAACCAACCTAAAAAACCGACTCGTGAGTCGATCAATCTATCTTTTGAGTTCGAGAAAATGACCGAACCAATATATTTACTTATTCTGATTGAATGAAGTTTATTGATTATCCCGATTAACAGATTTTTGAGGGCCTTTACAACCGTACTGGAAAAACACTATTTTGCTGGCTTGAAAAATTCAATTGACAGGTAAAAAAGAATGAACAAATGCCGTAGACATATATGTGGTGTTTTCGTTCAAATGATGTTGTTGGAGTTTACTTTTAGACACAAATGCCGTAGACATATATGTGTTGTTCTCGTTCAAATGATGTTGTTGGAGTTTACTTTTAGGCGGTTCTCTTCACTCATATACCATATTATAAATATAGAGTAAGGTTCTAAGAAAATACCAAAAAATGAAAAACTGATAAACGCCTTGATAACCATTTATATGTATCATATGTAAATTACATACAAGTAATAGAAGATGTTTTCTAGTTTTAATACATATACCCATATTATATAGGGGTGTTTGAAATTGCTTATAAAAACAACTTATTGACTTATTATGGTCCGATACCAGTAATAAACACTTTTAAGTGTTTGAATAAATAACTTATACCGATGTCAAACCGATAATAAATAGTTTTTTAAGAAGTAAATCATTCTACCTTTAAATTAATAAGTATTATCTTAAAAAACAATAGGTTGTTTCACAAATCCCAAACACCCCTATATACATGTGCATAACAATAGGAATGGCTTTGTTAATTGGTCCAATTTTTCATATATATATATATATATAAACTGGTGTCAGTTTAGTTGCCTGCCAATGTTGTATTTACTTCGTGCATGCTCAGCTATGGTGGCCGGTTCCGGTGTCCATTTGCCATGTCTTGTATTCGAATCTTAACATCTCTGAGATCTCCATTAAAGTTCTTTGATAAGATGGTGATAGAGAAAGAAGACAGCTAGGGTTGGAACGATTGAGGGAAAATTTAACGTTTGGCCAACTGGTATTAACCCTAATTTTGATCAATGCTCGTAGATCCGAGACAGAAGGTACGTCTTTCGAAGATAAACGAACTCCTGCATTCGTTGAACCCTAACCACGCGATTTCCTAGATCCTTTCTAATCAACCCTACTTTCTTCCTGTAATCGACTTGAAAGCTATCAACAGTTCCATCTTCATCTCGTTTGCCTGTGATTACTGTTGAGTACAATTATGGAAACCCTAGCTTCATCTGCAGCAATCGTATCCTCTTCTCCAAGAGTGAGCAATTGTTTTTGGAAATTTTGGTTTATGTGTAGATCTTTTTTTCAAGGATCATGACTTTTTATTTGTGTTTCCAGATGATGGCAGCGAATTCGGTCTTCGATCCGAGTGTAATGATGCTAGTTTCGTCCCCAGCAATCAAACTTTCTCTAAGGTGATTATTAAGCATTCTAATCAAGATTTTTAAATATATTCTTGATGTTTTGATTGATCATACAGAAGCTATGGGCTATTTGACCTTATCTGGATTATGTTTCAACAAATATATATGATGTAATTGCTTCGTTATAACATATATATATATATATATATATATATATCCACAAGGGCGGTGCCTGATTGGTTTGAGCTTGGTTCCAAAGGTCAAAAGTACCAGGAGGTTCCGGTTCAAATCCAAGGAGGAGTAAAAATCCCCTTGTAGCCATGGAGGTTCAAATGCGGTGACTCCGGGCTATCTGCAAAGCAGGTGGGCGCCTAGGGATTAGTCGGCTCACATAGCGGGTTGGATATCCATATGATTAGAGAGGATTTAGGAAATCTGAGTGGTTAGGGTTCAATGAATACAATTCGTGTACCATGGAGAAAGTACCTTCAGATTCAGGAGTTCATTTATTTAACATTTTCCGAAACAGTGAAATACCCGTACCTTCGATCTATGATCATTGGTCAAAAAGGTTAACATCGGTTGGGCAAACCACAAATCTTTTAGCTCAATCCTTCCTTCCTTCCTTCCTTCCAACCCTAGATGTCTTCCTCATTCTCTTATCAAATTAGGGTTAATACCGGTTGTGCAAACCCCAAATCTTTTGTCATGAATATCTATCATGACATTTAACATGAATAATTTTCATTATTCGGGGTTATGCATCATGAATAATACATGAAATAATTGGTTTCCCGATTCTTATCATACTTACGGTTTTCGTTTGAACCACCCCTAACTTAACCAACATATATTTATTCTATTTGAAAGACATGGTGCTTGTAATGTGTTAAACATTACTATATGAGCCTTAGTGCTCAAGATGGTAAAAAGTTCGAGCCTTAGTGCTCAATATGGTGGCTTGAATAATTTCAATTTCAAGTACAAGAAAGTAGTCATGCTTTCTTGATAAAAGTAGAAGAGGTGTCATTCTAATATCATCTAATAAATGAGTCTCAATTGAGGTCAAATGTCATAAAGATCTAGACCAAGCATAGCAAGGTTTTGTTTTGCGAGGTTGGAAGATAAGCTCATAAGCTATAGGCCTTAAGTTAAACCCACACTTGTGTACAACCTAGGCATGGCAACAGGGTGGGGATGGGGCCTGTTATTTAATCCCTGGCCCCGGTTTTTAGTAACAGCCCCCGGTCAAACCATGGTCAAACCCCAGTCCCTAGTCCCTGACTCGTTCTAGACCCGGTTTTTTATGACCTTTTCTGCCTTTTTTCCTCCCCTGTTCGGTTGTTCTTGTTTCTGCCAATCTGCCCATTTGACATTTTTACTTGTAGAATGAAACTTAAAGAACATAATTAATAACAATATATCAAAACATGTTTTTTTTTCCAAACATTAAGCAAACATGTAAGATTAACAAGATGCATCGGAACATGTTATTTCCAAGCAACACATTCTAGTCACTAAGTTTAGTCACTCAACAATCAACATCCTCATCGTATGCAATCGTTTGATCAAATACTTTTGGTTCTCCGTGTTTTTTATCTGAAATAAAAATAATGCAAGTCAGAAAAATTGTATATAACAATTTAGATGATTATTATAACAAACAATTTATATAATTATTACCTTCAATTTCTTTCCTTAACCAACTTTGGCTGCACATCAATGCTCCAACTGTTTGCGATTTTATTCGACTTCGTTGTTTTGTTATCTTGTTTCCGCTTAGCTAAAAGTCGATTCTGAAGCTACTGTAGAAATAGGAATGACCAACACATCCCTTGCAATCCTCTGCATGATAGGAAACTTAGCACTGTTGCATTTCCACCACATTAATATGTCAAATCCTTCATCATGCTGTAACAATTTCTCTGACAAATAATCATCCAACTCAGTCGTTTCAAACATGTCATCCTCAGAGATCATATTCTCAAAATCCAATTGCCATGAGGCCTTGTTTGAATAAGATTTTCCCCCACTTGAGACAGTAGTGCCACTTTGTCCTTTCCTTTTGTTGTGATTATGTTTCTTTTTGTACTCCTCAAATAAATCATTATATAGAGTACGGATCCTCATAACCTCATCTTTTGATTCCATACCATAAATCCTTGGGAAGAAATAATTGATCAACTTTAAATAATACCTAGGATCTAGAACAATAGCCACACTCATCACATCATGTATGACTCCCCAATATATATCAAATTTAAGCAACATACTTGATGCCAAGTTCCTAATAACGTCATTCTGATCGTCTTGCCAACTCTTAATAGATACTTTCATGTTAAAGAACAAGGGGAAGAACGTGTTGGAAGTGGGATACTTGGTCCCAGAGAATGTCTCAGTCACACGATATAACAAACCTAACTTATCACACACATCAGTCGCCATTTTCCATTCCTCTTCACTGGGTAAAGAAACATAATGTTTCTCTTTCTTGCTCAAACGAGTAAAACATCTTTATATTCCAAAGCAACATTCAACATTATATAAACATAATTCCACCTACAATCAAGCACTAATTCTCTTTCACAATCTACACCTAGTTGTCGTGCGACGAGTTGAAAGTCTTGGGCTTTTTTAGGAGAACATGTCCAAATGAGACTATCCCTAATATGTCTCAAGAGTCTAGTTGTCGGCTAGAGGGGCGAGGGCTGGACCGCTGGAGGATGTCGAGGACTCAAGTCGTCGACAGCTCAGAAGGGCAGACAGGCTCATCGGCAGAGGGCAGGAGGAGACTGGCGAGTGGGTAGTGACAACAAGAATTAGTGCTTGATTGCAAGACTGGGTGGATCACTGTTTATATAATGTTGAATGTTGCTTTAGAATATAAAGATGTTTTTACTCGTTTGAGCAAGAAAGAGAAACATTGTGTTTCTTTACCCAGTGAAAAGGAATGGAAAATGACGACTGATGTGTGTGATAAGTTGGGTTTGTTTTATCGTGTGACTGAGACATTCTCCAGGACCAAGTATCCCACTTTCAACATGTTCTTCCCCTTGTTCTTTGACATGAAAGTATCTATTAAGGGTTGGCAAGACGATCAGAATGACGTTATTAGGAACTTGGCATCAAGTATGTTGCTTAAATTTGATATATATTGGGGAGTCATACATGATGTGATGAGTGTGGCTATTGTTCTAGATCCTAGGTATTATTTAAAGTTGATCAATTATTTCTTCCCAAGGATTTATGGTATGGACTCAAAAGATGAGGTTATGAGGATCCGTACTCTATATAATGATTTATTTGAGGAGTACAAAAAGAAACATAATCACAACAAAAGGAA